CCCAGACTAGATCCTTTGACAGGATCTGTAAATGGAGAAATGTCCCACCAGCCACCACAGAAGAAGAACTAGTTTCAACGGCATAAGAGTGCAGTGACGCCACTGCAATTGTAGTCCATTGACACTTCTTCCCGTCCATGTTAGTGCATGTCAATACCTCGGTACACACATGGACTGGAGGAACAGTCTGCAGGTACCAGAGCATTGCACCTGCGATCTACTGATCATGGTTGCAATGCTTTACTGACCCCTATGCAAAAAAATTATAATAATAATAAATGCTTATTTTGTTTTTTTATGAAGATGTGTGCATTCATTATTTTTCACATAAGGTGGAAATTCCCTTTGAATCCCGCCATCATTGTTCATACAAGCAGCAGCCATTTGTCACTACAGCTGCCCCACTAAAAACACTGCAGTCAGGTCACATACTACCAGCCTTGGCTGATAAAGAGTATGGTAAGACATACCAGCCAATCAGAATTCACCTTGTCCTGGTCTGACTACAGCAGAGTGAATTCTGATTGGTTGCTCTGGATTACCGGCTCCAAGGAACTAGCACTTCAATCAGGCATACACCCAATCACGAAGCTTTAATTGCTTAGTATTATTTCAGTTTCAATCTCCAGCTATCGTTCAGCAATCCTTAGTGATCCTGCCATGAATGTCCGTGTTCAGGCACTTCCTGCTCTAGGGTGACAATGCCCTATCCCTTTCTCTCAGCTGTGCTCCTGCGTTGTTACCATATCACATGGGCTTCCAATGAAGTGGCCATGCCAACACATGTTAAGCAGGCATGGTCCACTGTTGTCACCATCAGGACACTTGACTAGGGAAGACATGGCACCGGGAAGCACGCCGGCTGCGTTTATTTCGCTTTAGGGCCCAAAGATTAAGCCTTACCTTCTCTTCAATTTCTGCTGCTGTCTTCTTGGTGATCTCCAGGTTTTCCACCAGCTCGGTGTCCCCCAGAAAGTTCCCGGAGGCGGAAGACAGACGGGACAGAAGGTTGTCTTCCAGGGTCTTCAGGGTGATCTTGAAGCCGTTCTGCTCCTTGGTCAGGTTGGACTGGATAAAAAGAAAGAGAGTTCAATAATAAATACAAATAATTCCACAATACTCGCTGAGGATGACTCACTAAAGGAAGAAAAATAAAAGGAATACGGAATAAAATACGAGGATACAGTTGGAATGTGCGCCCACATATATGATCGAATGCGAGCAATTGTGACCCTTAAACCTTCTGGGCAGTATGTACGGTGCAGGAGTAGACTGCTCTAAGCATTGAACATCCAAAAAATGTTACACTTCCTGATTCCTAAGCTGCACCTCCGAATGCACACAGCAAATATTTTATATCAAAAACAAAAATCCCGTACGGTGTGTTGTCGTATGAAAACGTCGGCGTATGTACGAGTATCACCAGCGTATGGGATCTGGTAAACTGAATGGTGCTAGAACTTCCAGGCATGCATTCCAATACCCCTCTGCATATGGATCACTAAACTGAATGGTGCCAGAACGTCCAGGCATGCAGTCCAGTAACCCTCTGCATACGGATCATTAAACTGAATGGTGCTAGAACTTCCAGGCATGCAGTCCAATACCCCTCTGCATATGGATCACTAAACTGAATGGTGCCAGAACGTCCAGGCATGCAGTCCAGTAACCCTCTGCATACGGATCATTAAACTGAATGGTGCTAGAACTTCCAGGCATGCAGTCCAATACCCCTCTGCATATGGATCACTAAACTGAATGGTGCCAGAACGTCCAGGCATGCAGTCCAGTAACCCTCTGCATACGGATCATTAAACTGAATGGTGCTAGAACTTCCAGGCATGCAGTCCAATACCCCTCTGCATATGGATCACTAAACTGAATGGTGCCAGAACGTCCAGGCATGCAGTCCAGTAACCCTCTGCATACGGATCATTAAACTGAATGGTGCTAGAACTTCCAGGCATGCAGTCCAATACCCCTCTGCATATGGATCACTAAACTGAATGGTGCCAGAACGTCCAGGCATGCAGTCCAGTAACCCTCTGCATACGGATCATTAAACTGAATGGTGCTAGAACTTCCAGGCATGCAGTCCAATACCCCTCTGCATATGGATCACTAAACTGAATGGTGCCAGAACGTCCAGGCATGCAGTCCAGTAACCCTCTGCATACGGATCATTAAACTGAATGGTGCTAGAACTTCCAGGCATGCAGTCCAATACCCCTCTGCATACGGATCATTAAACTGAATGGTGCCAGAACGTCCAGGCATGCAGTCCAGTAACCCTCTGCATACGGATCATTAAGGCTTTGTACAACTCCCTGGGTGGGTGGAGCTCTCGCCATATTGTGCAAGTAATGAAGAGCATACAATATGACATACTTACCCCATGGGTCCGCCCTCCAACGATGCAAGGTCCACACTCCCCGATGCAAGGTCCACACTCCCCGATGCAAGGTCCACACTCCCCCTGCTGCCATTGACTTTTCTGCTGCTCTTCTTCCGCGCTACTTTGGTGCACAAATGAGCCGCAATTATATTGTCCCAGCACCGAGCTCCATTCTCAGCAACTTACAGATGCTGGGAATGAGCCTGGAGTGCACACTGCCGGGCATATGTGCGACAGGCAGTGTACAAAAAGGTAAATTGCATGGAGCAAGAGGCAGTGCTCTGTGTTGGCATAGCTGAGTAACAGCCACACCCCTCAGCACAAGTGTCTTCATGCAGATTTGTATTGCAGAAAAGGGGGAGTGCCTGACCAGGTCTGTTACGGAGTGCTGGGACTGCACTGTATCTAATACTGGTGCTGAACAGACATATTTGGACACCTAACAGAAATGCTGTAACAGGAAAGTAAAGGCAAAACTACTAAACAGTAAATGTCTATCTAATGTCCGTCTGGCATACATTTAGAAGACTTCAGCTAAACTTTAGACCTGTTTTAGGACTATTTAGGAAAAATCCATTCATCCTGCACTGACTAGACCCATCAGGAAGATGTCACGGACAGAGCAGAGCCCTGCATACAAGCCCGGGTAACGCATGCAGTTCTGGCTGCATCTAAACAGAGATACTAAAGCTGGCAGCCATCTGAGAGGCTCCATTTGTTAGCCTTTAATATGCACAGCGTGCTCTGTCACATGTCATATCAAGTAGACGGAGACTGACAAGCCGATGAAGTGATTTATAACACTTTGTATAATTACAGTGTAACGTCTCCCGATTCCTGAAAGAGAAACTTTTCATCAGTTTTTTAGCAGGAGACAAAAAAAAACAAAAAACCGAGGCGGCAGAAGAAAGAGAGGCGATAAAATCAGGAGAGCCGAGAGGACGGAATCGCTCCCCATTAAATCAAGTCTGTTTGCTACGTGAGCCTTAATCGCAACATCTTCGGAGGCTGATTGCAGGCTTGTCCTTCTGAAAGTGTTTGTATTGAAATGAAAAAAAAAAAAAAAGAAAAGAAAAGAAAGCAGTGACAGGAATAATTCATTATCTCTCCTGAGCTCCCCGCCTGCTACCTGATTACCGCAGATAAGAGGCGCACACCAAGAGAAATTAGTCCCGTCCGGCTGTCTACCGAGAAAGTTTTCATCTTACTCGCCCAAAAATCAAATGGAAAAACTTCTGCATTAATTACATCGGGCCGCTCCGGTATAATCCCTGAAGCAGGTTCTGGTTAGGAATTTGTACTCTTAAAGGGACCCTCGCTGGAATGCCAATGCTATCCCAGAATCATTGTAGCTTTGCTGAGAGTTCACTTGAATCCGGGTTCCTCTAACTCAGTGGTTCTCAACCTTTCTAGGGCTGGGACCCCTTGGTAACATTTGTCAAGTTGTGGTGACCCCCAACGGTAAAATTTAGGGTTGACGCGGCTGCTGCAGCGACATCTGGCGGGAGAACTGACACTGCTGCGCTAGGAGAGGGCTGAGGAGGACTCTCACCTAGCACAGCAGAAATCACACAGCGACCCCACAGCTTGAGAACCACTGTCAATGTAACAGCTAAAATGGCAAACCATATAACACAAGCCGAGGGTGTCAGCTTTTATTATTATTAATAATAATAATGATGATAATCACTAGATGGGGACCTGTTGGAGAACTACAGGTCCCCCTCTGCTGATTGACAGCAGCAGTGGGCGGGTGCAATCGCTAGTTTGCTATTGCAAAGTGAAAATAGCCAATAGGAATGTAGCTATGCATTCCAATGCTGATTTATTTATTTTCTGACTTACGGCGATGTCAGAAATTTAAAAAAAACGATCGCAGCGAAAGGTTTAATCTGCTCGATCGAGCAGATTAAACCTTTCCGGGAGAAAGTGTTTCTCTGCCGGGCGGCCGGGAGCCGCTATCAAATAGCTGGAGACTCTCGGCGACCCCTGGCAAATTGCCATTCGACCCCCGAAGGGGTCCCGACCCACAGGTTGAGAACCGCTGCTCTAACTCCTTCGGGCAAATTTAGCAAACGTTTCACAGTGTTTCTGGGTGGGAATGCAGCGTTTGTCACTCATGTGCCTATCCTTGTGGGAGGGGCTGCAGTAGGCTCCGAGGGGGTGGTACTATAACCAGGGAATACACTGCCTGGATTGCACATGCTCCGATTGGCTTGTAGGTGACCTAGTGAGCATGGAGGTGATATTTAAAACTCTGGCATTGAAGAACTTTGTATACCAAAGGCAGAGTCTGGGAGACTGCTACTTATCAATGTATAACAGAGGTAACCAATGAACATAAAAGCCACCCAGTGGCTGTCTTTTCTCAGCCTTTTCTATTACTTGAATGTCACATGCATGTCCAGAGACGGGACCGACTTCATCCTGAATTACAGTATTTTATCCTCTATTGCAGAGGTAGGTAACTCCGGCTCTCCAGCTGTGTTTTAACTACAAATCCCATAATCCATCTGCCTCTGGGAGCCATGCCGGTGGCTGTTGCAGTCTTGCAATGCCTCATAAGACTTGTAGTTCCATAGCAGCTGCACAGCCAGAGCTGCCCCTGCTCTTTTGTGAAACCATCGCTTTCCGCTTGATGGCATGAACTGGGTTACCTTAAGCTCTTCCAGGTCGGGTCGCTCCATGCTGACCACAGCCGCCAGTAGCTGGTCCTCCAGGCCGTCGCGGGTGACAGTGAAGTTGATGAGCGTGCATTGCGCCTGCATCTCCGGCTGGTAATGGGGATTGGCCAGCTTGGTGTGCAGGATGAGGCGGAAGCTGGGACTGTACTCGCACTCCTTGTCCCCAATCTTGATGTACCTGAAACAAACCATGAAGGGAACGTTGCTGTCAGGACTAATGAAAAAGGACTGACAAAGATATTGTCCACATAACGACCTACAAAATTGCTCCAGGAATCTCTAAACCTAAAAAAGGACCAACAGACACAGAAACTGAGGAAGGAGGCACCGATATCTGCAGTACAGTTTATTGTTCTGTAATCGCCATCCTGCCAGGCTATAGGAGGCAATTGGTCAGTTATGGGAATACTGAAGAGTAATTCAAGTGAGAGCAGGAAAATATCTGCCTCTACTTCAAAGATCTAGGAGTATTTCTATAATGTGGTAGGACCGGATGACCAGTATATGACGGTTTCTTGAACTCAGAATTAGGGTTCAGTCTTAGTGGTGCATTGATCGTGAGTGTAGGACCTTGCCTACTCAACTCCAAGAAAGACCAGTCAGGGTGCGGTCTCTGGAACTCAGAATTAGGGTTCAGTCTTAGTGGTGCATTGATCTTGTGTGTAGGACCTTGCCTACTCAACTCCAAAAGAGACCAGTCAGGGTGCGGTCTCTTGAATTCAGAATTAGGGTTCAGTCTTAGTGGTGCATTGATCTTGTGTGTAGGACCTTGCCTACTCAACTCCAAAAGAGACCAGTCAGGGTGCGGTCTCTTGAATTCAGAATTAGGGTTCAGTCTTAGTGGTGCATTGATCTTGTGTGTAGGACCTTGCCTACTCAACTCCAAAAGAGACCAGTCAGGGTGCGGTCTCTTGAATTCAGAATTAGGGTTCAGTCTTAGTGGTGCATTGATCTTGTGTGTAGGACCTAAGCTACTCAATTCCAAGAGAGACCATTTAAGGTGCGGTCTCTGGAACTCAGAATTAGGGTTCAGTTGCAGTGGTGCGGTGCGTTGATCCTGTGTGTAGGACCTAGACTACTCAACTCCAAGAGAGACCAGTCAGGTTGTTGGTCCTTCAGCAAAGTGGCATTGGTGTGTGCTGAGTGTATGTAGTATAAAAAGTTATGCAACTTAGTGATTAATCTCTAGTCACATAAAAATACAGCCAACGTATTTTGGGGGATTGGGGTACCTCCTTGTTCATGGCTCTGGGGTGACGCTATATGCTGCGAGCCTTATGATAACTGTTTCTGGGTTATTTGTTTTTGCCAATGAACTAGAACCCAGAAACGGGCTCCAGTTATCCCACAGATCACAACATATACCATCAGCCCAGAGCCCTGAAGAAGGATGTACCCCAGTGCCCTGTAACGCCATGGCTGCATTTTGAGTATGTGAATACTGGAACTAAACTATTGAGTTGTAGAACACTTTCTCTGAACTGCTCCTCCCCAAACATACACAGATGTCATCAGTCCATACACTACCAACACATTTTCCACAACATGTAACACAGCAAATGAGTCAGAGTAACGTGCAAAGTGCAGTGGCCCCGAATGACCAACCGGCCAGTCATCTCCGACTGATTTCACAGCTCCGGGCTAGTAAAAGCTGAAGACCAATTGCTTGCTATGTGTTTGCACAGCCCTTTGTGCCCCATGCTCTTGGTAAATACACTTTGTCCCCCCTCTTGCAGGGTTCTTCAGTAATTTTGGGTGGAGTTGCTCGGAAAGCCGGAGTCCAGAACTGACTTCAAATGTCTAAGTGCCTCGGTGGCCACTGTGGTCAGTCTGGACTCCTGTGCTGCCGGTAACATGGTTTCATGGCATGAAAAGCCAAGCCTGGCCCACTTGTCATGGGAGAGCGCAGTGTGTATTCAGAGTGACTGGGGGAGGCTGCATGTTATCTGACCGCGCAGATGTCTGTGGAGCACTATGCACATCCTCTATGCAGCTCCATCTCTATGAATAAACTATATATATGGCCATAAAACTGAAAAAAACCTCTGTATTTCTATTTTGAAATTCCATAAGTTCTACCCCGCTCCTAATACCCAGAACCATCTAGAAGTGTGTAAACTGAAGGTGCCCAAACGATGGACTTCCTCAATGCACTGACACAATTTTACTCAGCCCTGCACTTCCTGGTGTCACCACTCTCACAGAGCCTGCCTATGAACTACAACTCAACGTCTGAACAATGTAACATCATCATAGCTTGCTGGAAGCAATGCATAATGGGATATGTAGTCTTGAACAATGTAACATTATCATTGCTTGCTGGAAGCAGTGCATGCTGGTATATGTAGTCTTGAACAATGTAACCTTATCACTGCTCACTGGAAGCAATGCATGATGGCATATCTAGTCTTGAGCAATGTAACCTTATCACTGATTGCTGGAAGCAATGCCTGATGGTATATGTAGTCTTGAACAATGTAACATTATTATTGCTTGCTGGACGCAATGCAATGATGGCATATGTAGTCTTGAACAATGTAACCTTATCACTGCTCACTGGAAGCAATGCATGATGGTATATGTAGTCTTGAACAATGTAACATTATCATTGCTTGCTGGACGCAATGCATGATGGTATATGTAGTCTTGAGAAATGGAGATTGCATCACATCCAGCAGCAGGGAAAGAGATGCAAAGCACACTGGTAAACCAGGAAGTTGTTGGCAGTGATGGGCAGACGGAAGGCAGCACTCCCTACATAAAAGGGATTTTTTCCAGTAAGCTTTGATTGCTTTATCAGAAACAACTCCGGTATGTGTTCCTATTACAATTCTGATGTTATAGCAGGATAATGTATGCTGGGACTTTCTATTACGGCCAAAATGTCAGGGGAGGAGACTGCGTCTGGCGGTTGGTACCGCTCATGGAGCGATAATAGAATTCAGCGGTCATGAGATCTCTCAATTTAATGCATCCCTTTTACTAGTGCGTATCTGGCTATTTAGGTGGAGTTTCCCTTTAAGTCAGCCATGTTAATGAAATGACAGCGAGATTAGTGAAGACGGGAACGTCGCACCCATGAATCATCGAGGAACATTCCCCCCGTTCTCCCCATGATTATTATTCATGGAGGTCAATTACACTCATCGTCACATGCAGGAAATTCTGTTGACGTGCCGCTGGATGGGTGTCACCGTGTTAACAGCTTTTCCCCCTAATGAGAAACACTAAATGACTTGTGTGGCCGCTTTTCCCTTTCAATTAATCCGACGCGAAGGATTCTTTCATCGCGCCGTGTCACTAGGCAGCCGGGGTGTTGAAAACCTCAATTTAATATACGAACACAACCGGCTCGGAACCGCACTCAGCCGCTGCACAGCCGAAGGTGGGGGGGGGAGAACCGGGAACGTATCAGGAATCTGACATGTGCTCGGTGGCAGTTCGCTGAAGATGCGGCATAATGATCGTCACTTGGAGCCGGCGAGGGCAGATTAGCTGCCAGGTGCAAGAAAAGTGTCTGGAAAATGCCAAGCGCCGCATGAATATTTTACACCGGCTTCATTTTACATCAGAAGTAAACTTCGCTTCTACTGTCTGAAATGTACGATTCCTAAATCAGTTCTATTCCGGGTTTTTTTGGTGACTTTGCAGCAAATTATGGAAGGATCAGTAACAACCGCTTGGGAGTCGAAGGGTTAACGGCGCATCGGTGAAACTTTCCGGCAAGAGCCGCTTTGTTTAAATGCTATTTGTTGAACTCTGCAATCGTAATACATCATTAAATGTCATTTTTAAGTACAAGCGGTGTGAGGACCTGTACCTGGCTTGGAATCGGCCTCTTGCAGTCCCTGTATAGCAGAGCTCATACTAGAAGAGGGAGAAGCAGCACAGTGCGCCAATCAGCTGTGCTGCAGTGCTAACAAGGGATATGCTGATGGGAAGAGAGATCAGGGTGACAGAGAGATGGGCTCATTAGTCTTCTGCTTCTCCTTTCGCTGTCCACTCAAAGGAGGGGCAAGACCTGTAAGTGTTACTGAACTGCGGCAGGGAAAAATCAGGCATCCTGCCCTGCCAGACAGGATGGTTCTGTAAGGCAGAGCTCTGCATATTGCAGGACTGGATGGACAGAAATACAAAAACACCTTTATATAAATTGCATCTGATTACTTTTTGTTGTTGTTTGCCTGGAGTTCTGCTTTAAATGGACCTCCAAGGCGGAGCTGGCCTAAACTAAAGGAGTCCATGTGCTCCAATTAGACTAAACAGGAAGTGGAAGGTTTGGAGGCATCAGAGGTGAGGAGGGTTTTTGGGAGTGGAAGAGTAAGGACCTGCTATGTGCTTTGTGTGAGAATCAGAAGGACCCAACTGGAAGCATCTACTGAACCAGGTGAAAATGAACCAGACCAATACAGGCGGCCTAGGAACGCCCACTCCTCCAGACGGACACCAACCATCAAGGCATTTTGATATTTGCAAACTCCTCCCAAGAGCCCGCCCACTACTTGCATCAGGAGTTTTATAAAATAACATGCGTGCTCGTACTATTCATAGATACTTTTCAGGCGTTATTGGAAAGTAAAATTGCATTTGCGAACAGATAGCCTACAATACACCACAGCAACCAATCAGTGCTATTTCTTTGCAGAGTGGTATCTGATTGGTAACAGGGGTCAAATAGTCAGATGTGTTTGACTATCCGGACTAGTTGTGTTCCCGAAACCTTCCAGGTGAGGACGGTCTACAGAGGTCCCATCATTTCTGTCAATGCTTTTACCTTCCTTTCTTGATGGTCTCTCGGCCCAGTAAGGGTCCCAGGACGGGATCCACGTTCTCCTCCAGGTTCTCAATAAGGACCACGTCTCCCCCGCCCAGGGCTCTCTCTAGAGTATCCAGGTAACTGAAAAAAAAGGAAAAATTGGGTTTTTATTAGGAAAATAAAGTTTATAAAATCAGAGCTGGTAAATCTAGAGGAATCTTATAGGACATGTGAGTCACTCGGAGATTCAGCTTCCAATTCAGGTTTTTTTACAGAAAAGTTATATAAATTAGGAAGTCCACCAAATTGACCCCGGATTGAACAGAAGGATTGCGTGAATGGAGGACAGAGAGCCAAAGAAAACTTCCAAGGAGATGCAATCTGAACTCCGAGGTCAAGGTACATCAGTGTCTGATGGCACCATCTGTCGCTATTTTAGCAACAGTAGGCTCAAAGGTAGAAGAAAGACAAACATAAACAATCCAGGCTGGAATCTGATAAAACACATATTGGCAAGGCACAATACTTCTGAGAGAAAGTTCTTTGGGCAGATGAGACAAATCTGGAGTATTTTGGCAAGTCACGAGAAAATGAAGCTTTCAAAGAAAAGGTCACCATACCTACTGTGAAACACGGAGGAGGCTTAGTAAGGTTTTGCGGCTGCTTTGAGGCACATGGTACTGAGTGCCTTAAATCTGTTAAATCTGTGTCACATAGATATAAAGATAGTAATCACAAAGAGAGAAACATGGGGTTTTTAAGGCACCAGATGACAATTCCAAGGTGATGAAGAGTAAAAAATATTATTTATTAAATAATGGTTAAAAATATATTCATTTCAGATCAAATTCATTGGTGAAAACCAGCTGATCAGATGTCTCCTAAGAGACTCACTCCACTTATTAAGTAACCAAATCAAAGATACATGATTAGATGAATAAACATAGTATTATAATAACATGATTCAAAAATAGACATGATTGGTTTTTAGATTGTTCGGAGTGGAGGAGTCATATGGTTTTGACGTTTCACGCTCAAAAGCGCTTCCTCAGGAGATGGAAGATATCGATTAAGCAGGTTGACACGTGTGCACTCAAGCGGACCAGTCCGGGCAGAACCCCACAAATTCAGGGGGAGAAAGAAGCGAGGACCAATACCCCAATAACAGGCAGTAGGAGGTGGAAGTCACACAATCATAAAGAAAAGGAGCCCACAATTGCTCCTTTCACTTAAGAAGGACCCAACACAGCCAGAGATCAAAAGAGGCTCCCGATGCTTCACACTCTCCTGGGCCCCCAGCATCCAGCACAGCCGCCCCAGAGCTGCACAGTGATATAAAGATAGATCACCAATACTCAAAAATGCAAAGGAAATATTGAAAATTGTTTATTGAAAATAATGTCAAATAGCTCACAAATGCCAACATTTCGGGCCGCCCAGGGTCCATTCCTCCAGGCGACACAGTGACATCACTGTGCCACCTTGAGAAAGGGACCCTGCGCGGCCCTGAAACGTTGGCAACTTTGACTTATGTAACATTTGCAATAAATTATATTTTCTTTGCATTTTGGAGTGCTGGTGACCTATTTTCACATCTCTGAGGTTCTTCATAGCGCCATCTACGGCAGTCACTTTGAGCACCTATCTTATCTCCATTGATCACAAGGTTGTATGATGTGCACCAGGCACTATCAACATTAAATCTGTGCCAGGCACAGATAAATCTCAAGACAATCAAGGAATTCTGGAGTGAAATGTACTGCAGTGTCAGAATGCTTTCAGTTGCAAGGCGTGGGTCCTCCAACAGGATAAGGACCCAACAGCTAAAAGCACCCAAGAATGGGTAAGAACACAACATTGGACTATTTTGAAGTGGCCTTCTATGGGCCCTGATCTGAATCCTATCAAACATCTATGAAAAGAACTGAAGTCGTCTCCAGCAGTCTGGAGAAGGTGCCCTTTAGAGACAGCTCAAGAAGAGTCGGCCATACTACCTGTTGGCAGGGCTATAGAACTTGCTTGTTTGCGATGAATGGCGCTAAAGGTTGTAGAACAAGAATTGGCTTAAGGGTCCCATCATTTTTGTCCATGCCATTTTCATTAGTGATAACACTTAACATATTCTGTTGAATCAAAAATCAAAAGTAAAATCTGATTTATTATTAACTATGGAGCATTGATGGATGCCAATTATTTTGGTCAGTTTCAAGTCTTTAGCTAATTTTGCTTCACTTTTCGTGGCAGGGTACCAAGAGAAACGCTGACACGACATCTCTGGGTTTCGCTCCGTCGCTGTACTGTGTGTGCACAGTGCCTTGGTTACAGTCCATGTACCCATTGCACTCCTGACTGCTCATCCATCAAAGTAACATGGGTGCTCGGTAGTCGACGGATGGCCACCGTCACGGTAATACAAAAGAATATGGACACCGGCACTCCAACAGCAGATAGAATACGTCTATTTATTGACGTACATGCAAAAAAGTAGCATACTTAGTGTGCTAGGCTACTTTTTTTGCATGTATGTGAATAAATAGACGTATTCTATCTGCTGTTGGAGTGCCGGTGTCCATATTCTTTTGTATCACAGTGCCTTGGTGACACCTCCATAACGCCTAGCATCATTCAACCCAGAAGATAAGAGGTAACTATTACAGATAGAGCTGTGTAGATATGAGATAGATAGAAGAAGGATCAGAGTATTGCAGATAGAGCTGTGTAGATGTGAGATAGATAGAAGAAGGATCAGAGTATTGCAGATAGAGCTGTGTAGATGTGAGATAGATAGAAGAAGGATCAGAGTATTGCAGATAGAGCTGTGTAGATGTGAGATAGATAGAAGAAGGATCAGAGTATTGCAGATAAAGATGTTTTTTTTAATTGTTATAATTCCTGGGTTGCACGTTTAAACAATAAAACTAGAATTGGGCATTAAAGGAGAACTATGAGGCAAGTGATTTCCACTCACCTCATAGTTCTAGCCGACCTGTGACAATGAGACTGTCACAGGTCGGCTCAGTAGATCGGGAGGTGAGCGAACACATACCGGGACAGGGGGAGGGGCTGGATTCCCCTCTCCCCGCTCCGCCAGCGCTGACTGGCGGAACGGATGGGGGAGGGGGCGGGTACAGCTGGCTCTGCCTCTAGATAGGCAGAGCCAGCTGTCACTCACGCAGCTGGGCGGATCTCGACGTCCATGTCGGGATCTGCTCCGGCTGTGGCGTCTCAGTATTCCGCAAGCTGTAGCTCCCTATATACTGAGCTTAGGGTAACGGGAGGACGCTAGTTTGTGTCCTCCCGTTACCCTAAGGAGAACTATGGGGAAAAACACTGAGCCCATAGTTCTCCTTTAAAGGACATCATAAGCCATGAGCTTAACCTAAATAGTATTTTTGATGCAAGGAAAGTGTTAAGAAAAAACAAGTACAAGATACGTTATCATCTTCCCTTTAAGAAATAAGCAGTTACTCCCAGCCATGTCCATGACAAAATGGCAGCCGAGGACAGACAGAGAGAAGTGCCGCCTCTCACATCTCCTCTGATCACACCGCTGAGGGGAGGAAGTATCCCAAGGAGACCTGACAGAAGTGTACTAATGACAGGTTGGCAAATATGAGCAGGATGGAAACACTAAAACCAACCTATTTCCTGAACATGTGCCCGTGGCGTGACAGTATACTGGTGTGCCGCCATCCCCTCACGCTTACCCTCGCTGCCCGATGCGGATAACTCGAAGATTTTCCCCATATTTATTCTTGATCCACTTGATGCCTTGGAGTTGTGGATCCACCATCAGAGGCCAACGCTCACAGCTGGTCAGGATAGTGGCATTCTCTGTAGACATGCGGTCAGCCGGAAGACCCTCATTCTGCCAAACTGCCACATCTGCATCATCAGTCAGCATGGTTAGGGGGTCCAAAGATGGGGTTACCGGTATGGGGACCTGGAGGGGAAGTATAGAGTAAGTGTTGCATAAAAAAGGAGCAGAGTTCTCCAGCAGTGCGGAGCGTTTCAGGAGAGCATCGATATAGAGGAAGAAGCAGAGTCCTTTAGCAGAGGAAGATAGTTAGATAGAGGAAGGAGCAGAGTCCTCCTGCAGGGCAGAGTATTTCAGGGGAGGAGAGTTATAGAGGAAGGAGCAGAGTCCTCCAGCAGAGCAGAGTACTTCAGTAGAGGAGAGTTATAGAGGAAGGAGCAGAGTCCTCCAGCAGAGCAGAGTATTTCAGGAGAGGAGAGTTATGGAGGAAGCAGAGTCCTCCGGCAGAGCAGAGTATTTCATAAGAGGATAGTTATAGAGGAAGGAGAGCAGAGTCCTCCAGCAGTGCAGAGTATTTCAGGAGAGGAGAGTTAGAGGAAGGCGCAGAGTCCTCCAGCCACATGAAGTATTTCAGGAGAAGAGAGTTATAGAGGAAGAAGCAGACTCCTCCTGCAGCACAGAGTGTTTCAGGAGAAGAGAGTTATAGAGGAAGGAGCAGAGTCCTCCAGCAGAGTATTTCAGCAGAGGAGTTAGATAGAGGAAGGGACAGAGCACTCCAGAAGCAAAGAGTAATGCAGGAGAGGAGAGTTAAGCTGGCCAAATACGTATATATTTTCTTATTTTAACCTGCAGGCTGAACAATGAAAATATACGCTCATAATCATGGATGGAGAAACCCCCCCACCCCACCCCCCCTTTTCATTTTATTCTGACAGTGGCCCACAGCTGCTGTCAGAATACCCAAACGATGCTTGCAACTGATTGGCTCCAAGCTCGATTCAGCCGAAGATTTTCCAACCTGCTCCTTGGATCTTCTGATCAACCAACAGCGGCAGCCACTGTGCGAATTTCAGCCAGTTCATCAAGAAGTAGCATATGGCCATCTGTAGATAGAGGAAGGAGCAGAGTCCTCCAGCAGCACAGAGTATTTAATGGTGTGATGGGTCTGGTCTTTTAGCAGTGATCGGTCGTCTATTGGGAAGGTGAAATTTAATTGTGGCTTTTTGCCTTATGATAACTAGGACAAGCTTTAGGTCTCGCAGCCATTTGATTAAAGAGTGAAATCGAGTTTGCAGTACGAGTTCTTGGATACATTTGATTAATGCACTAGCCTTGTTGCCCCCGGCAGAGAGCCTCTTGCAGATTTCCCCTCCTCTGCTCCGTTTTATTCCTCTCATGAATAATCAACCAATAACTCCAGCTTACAAGTCTCCGTAGATGTGGCGCACACGCCTCTGTCCCAGCATGGCCCTCGCAGGAAACGCATTATCTGGGACCCCCCGCTGCCTTCTACACAGTTATAAATATTGCCGGGACGGCAAATCAGCCAGGAGCGGCCACACGCGAGCTCCGTCTCTGCATCAGAAAGCTCAATTTCCATCCTCGGCCTTTTGTTCAGACGTTGCACAGGAGCAAGTCATTATAATGTGACATTTTGCAGATCGTTGCTGTAGAGAAAGTGGTGGTGGCAAAATACTAAGGGCCAGGCAGTGTGTGTACATGAATACGGTCATAATGTACTCCAGCTGCATATTTCCCCTCTCCCTATATAGCGGGAGTTTTATTACACTCATCCTGGCAGTGGCGGGGTACAGAAAATGCCTCGCCGGTGATTTGTTTTAAAAAAAAAAATAGAAGTTAAAGACAAAATTGTAATTCCAACCAAAGACTTTAGACATTATCTAGACCCTTGGTTCTCAACTGGTGGGTCATGACCCAAAAGTGGGTCGCGACCCTGTGTTCGCCACGTGCCTTCCACTTTTCTAGGTGAGAGGCTCCTCATCCTCCCCCTAGCGCAGCACTGCCAGTTCTCAAACCCAGCAGCCATTCAAAATATGCTGCCCGGTGCTGAATGTCAGCTCTAGGTGGGGTGGGCTCCATCCATAAGTGGATTGCTTACAGCTCCCTCGTGGGTCCTGTAGAGGTGCCTGGACCGGAGTGATGTAACATTCTGACTCTCGGCACCTCTACAGGGCGTGCAAGGGAGCTGTACAAGCAATGCACATATGGATGGAGCTCCAGCACAGCGGACCCCAGGCTGAGGATCCACCCCAGTTCTTGTAAGATAGGGAGACTGGGTGGTTTTTAAAAGAAATTGTATTTATTTTGAAGTGCGTATGTGTGTGTGAGAATGTTTGTGAGTGTGTGACAATGTGTCTGTGGTCGTGTGTGTCTTTCAGAGTTTTTTAGGGCCCATTCACAATAGTACAGTGCATTAATTACACAGTCTGGTGCGATTAGCACACTATACCACGTGTTCTGGTGTGAGAGGTAAATTGCATTCCCATTCATTTGGATGGCACCCCAAATGCACCTTCCACCCACAGTTCTATTCCCCGCATCGGAAAACACAGTACCGCAATGCCATGCATTAAATTGCAGTGCAACTTGGGTCACGACTTAATTGCCAAGGACAAATGTGGGTCCGGAGGTTACACAGGTTGAGAACCGCTGATCTAAAGTGTGCTTTAACCATCAGGTTGCAGGACAAACTTTCCTTAATTCTATCCCTTGGGTGTACATGCCTATGTGGCCAGCAGACACCCCTGACAGTGGTCTTATCATAGGGGAAGATAAACAATCAGGTGGTAAAAAACAACCAGGCAAGCTGACTCCACCCCCATGGGGCCAGGTACTGGTTTCTTATAAACCTTATGGACCACAGTTGCGAGATCTCTGTACTTGTGTCCTCCAATCTTGTCACTTGCGGCCTTCATTCCAGGAGGCTCTTACTATCTATGCAGGCAGGAACCGATCCGGGAGATCACAACATTGGAGTCCCCAGATGTTATAAGCAACCACAAAGCGACTACTATCTATAGCTACACTATATAGCTGAAAGGTTGTGGGCACCTGATCATCACTCCTATATGAGCTAGTTGGATATCCAATTCCAAAACTATGACCATTGATATGGAGTTGAACCCATTTGCGGCTATAGCAGCCTCTTCTTCTCTATGAAGGCTTTCCACAAGATTTTGGAGGGTGTCTATGCAAATCTGTGCCCATTTGTGAGGTCAGATACTGATGATAGATGAGAAGAAGACCCGGCTCACAAGCAGTGTTTCCATTTATCCCAAAGGTGTTCAGTAGGGTTGAGGTCAGGATACTGAAGCCTAGGCCAGGCATCTTGCAAACACACATGCCTCCTCCCAGGGAGGCCTTTCATCCCAAAGGTGTTCGGTAGGGTTGAGCTCAGGGCTTTGTGCAGGACACTTTAGTTCCTCCACACCAAACTAGTAAAACCTTGTCTTTATAAAGCTGGCTTTGTACACAGCGGCACAGCCATGCTGGAACAGAACAGGGTATTCACCAAACTGTTACCACAAGGTTGGAGTAGCACCATTGAATACAATCTCTTTGTATGCTGTAGTAACAGTACAATTCACTGGAAACACATGAACTCTATTATTTGGTGGGGACCCCACATACTTTTGGCCATATAGTCTAACATATCACTTTGGGTACGATAACCCTTCATATAAGGCTTCCTTGTTTCTATGAACATGCTTTTTCTGGACAGATTCCCTTCTGTGCTACGTCTGCCCATCCAGGTGTCCTTAGTTTGAACTGGATGTAGACCATCTAAAACCAAATGCGAAAAACGCTAAATCTCAGACACAACGTCCATATTGTGCCGCAATGTGGCTGTGAAACTGGTACTTACTTTCAGCTCTCCCAGGTAAGGTTTCCAGGTTTTATCCATGAGGTCCTGTCTGTACTTCTTGGTGAAGTAGCCGAGATAAGAAACGAAGGCGGTGATGAGCAGGACGTCTCCGCACAGCGTGCTCTCCTGCAGCTTGAAATTCCTCACCGACTCTCCCCATCGGACGTTTTCTGATGCAAGGCCTCCGACCTAGACAAGAGAAATGGCAGAGATTGTCTAAATATGGCTTCATGTCAAAAAATGTGTCCTGGTGACAGGGACTCCCTATGGCCAGCAGTTTTCAGGTGTCGATCATGTGACAAGGTTTGTCACAGTAAGATCAGTTAGGGTCTGGAACTCACTGCCACAGGCGGTGATTTCAGCAAATAATGTGGAATTGTTCAAGAAACTTTTGGACGATTTCTTAAGGGACCGTAATATACAGGGGTACAGGTAATATACAGGGGTACAGGTAATATACAGGGGTACAGGTACTCCTAGAATGAGATCCTAATAGGTTGGACTTGATGGACTAATGTCTTTATTCAACCTCAAATACTATGTGACTATGTTGGGTCTACCGGAAATAAGCGAATTTTCCTATCTTTAGGGCTGCTGCCATACACTGATTGAAGGACTTTTTTCAAGTTATACAAAACAGATGGTTCAAATATAGTATAGGCCAGGACGGTTCTTATAAATACCAAGAGAGTGCTATTTACCCAGACCCAAAAGGGGGACCTCTCCAGGAGGCTTACAATGAACGGTGCTTGATTGTGGAGCCTTAAAGCCCTGGTGCCCAACCTGCATCCCAAGGGCTTCATACAGTCATTTGGTACTCATGGTGCGGCTCTCAGCCCCCAGCAGCCAGTGGTGGAAACATTAATCTGTAAAAGGGGCTTTAATTGCATTGATCTCTGCCAGCCTTATGTAACATATCTCAGTCTCTAACAGACTCGTGCAGCCTATCTTCAGACTTCAGCTACACATGATGCATGCCACCAGTCTATGACCATCCCCAGCTAAATATCAGCAGTCTCTGCCAATCCACTGTAGCACTGCATATGATGTGCGCCCCCCCCCCCGAAGAAATCAGGGGCCACAACTGAGGCTCCCTATATGTATTCGATTGATCATAACTGTTTTAAAGGGTTCTATCACCTCCGAAAGAAGGACATTTGAGAAGGAGTGGCAGGAGCAGACAACTTTCTAAAATCAATCATGACAAATAATTCTGTATCTTTCATTCTGGCATTATGTGGGAGGGGCTTAACATAAATACAATCTATAAACTTCCCAGCATGCACTTGTTCCTGAGGATGCACAGCGTGACACAGAAAAGGTAAAGCCAGCTTAATATGATCTTCAGCAACCATTTCTGTGCACAAGCATCTGATGCTACATATACAGAACGGGCTGCCAGATGAGAAAAAGCTGGGTGGGGCCAGAAGGATGAATTAAAGTATAGAATGATGAAAGTTGGAGACAAAAAAAAAAAGAAAGTTAATTACATACTGAGCAGAAAATAAGCTACAGCTACATAACATGGGGACGATGATGAATTCATCTTCTAAGCTTCCATTAATAACTGTCCCGCTGAAGGAAACAGCGAATGAAGAGATTTCCATAAGACAATATGGCTGACACACTTGGATGCATGAAAAGGGACAGCCGTCCTCCAGGGGCTTCCGCACAAACGCCACTGTTAATTCATGGCGGTAATGAAAAACGGCATGAGGCCACTGACTGTGACAAAGACACTTATTAAAGACAGGCCAAGGACAGGTGTGAAGTGTTGCCTGCATATTGTGCGATTTATAATGAGGACACGGCTACACCTCCGGAACAGCGGTCCCCATCGTTCCTTTCATTTTATTCCAAAGACACCCTGCGTCATTCCTGTTATAGGGTAACAACGCACTATCCATGTCTCCTGATGGTGCACCTGCGTCGCCACCCTGTCACATGGGCAAAGGGAAAGGGTCACCTAAAGAAAATTTTATTTCACATGTGTATTTCTTCACCAGGCACTAAATATTTTTTTAGCTCAGCGCCTATATAATGAATGGAGACCTGTCTACAGGGATAACATACAGCAGCTGAACGTTGAAATAAGTTTTGGAGTGGGAGTGGCTGCTCTGTAAGGCTCCATTCACACTGGGGCGGCTGCCCGCATGTATTCGGCTGTATGAATACGCGCAGAGCCGCTCCACACAGAAAAGAAACAATGCACTTCAATGTGCATTGTTCAGACTATTGCGGAAACCAGACGGTCCCCGAAATAGTGCAAGCGCGATAATCCGGCGGATTCCGCTCGTTCACGGCTATATACTGTAATCCAACAAGCGGAATCCATGCAGTTGTTTCACATTCAGCGCTTGCATCCTGTGCGGTCTTCCGCATTGAAAACCGTGCGGGAAACGCAAACGCTATATGTGAATGGAGCCTTAAAGGAGAACTTTGGGGTCAGGGCTTTTCCCCATAGTTCTCCTAAGGATAACGGGAGGACACAAACCAGCGTCCTCCAGTCGCCCAAAGCTCAGTATACCGCGAGCTACAGCTCATAGTATACTGAGACGCCGCAGCCGGAACGGATCCCGACAATTCTGTCTGGATCCACCCAGCTGCGTGAGTGACAGCTGGCTCTGCCTATCTAGAGGCAGAGCCAGCTGTACCCGCCCCCTCCCCCATCCGTTCCGCTAGTCAGCGCTGGAGGATCGGAGCGGAGAGGGGGGGAATCCCTGCAGGGAGCTATGAGTGACAGTCACAGCTCTCTGCACGGATAGATCGAGAAGTGAGCGAGCGCCGGTATGTGTTCGCTCACTTCCCGATCTACTGAGCCGACCTGTGACAGTTTCATTGTCACAGGTCGGCTCTGATTATGAGGCTGAGTGAAAAATCACTCGCCTCATAATTCTCCTTTAAGCTGACAGATGGGGGAGGTACTTAGGGTAGGAGAGTGCTGGGTCCCTCCTTATATGCACAACGTGGGTGAGGGGAATCAAAGGATGGTAATACCGTCCCTTATGTGGCTATCCGCCACTTTACTTCCCTCCTTGCACCCAATCTTCCCCAGCAAGGCTGACCTATTATATTCGGGCTTGGCCCTAACGGGCAAGTTTGGTACACTGGCTGACCCATGTCTGGTGGAGGTAGCACCCTGTGCTACATGTCTCAGCTATTACCAATGGCATTGCAGTGGCAGACTCACCAGGCGGTTGGCCAGGTTGATGGTCATGGCGGTAGCGTCGGCTTCCTGTTGACATTTTAGCTTGTCTGCCGTGGCTTTCTCGAACTTCGCTGTCAGTTTTGCCAGGTTTTCATTCAGTTGCTGAAAAGAAAAAGGCACGATTAATATTTCACTGATCCAAAAGAGGCAACGGAGAAGACGAGCCAGACCTTCACACCCAGCTGAATGTATGCCGATCTGTAAACACAGTATAATGAGCATTTATTATGCCCAGGACCAAAAAACAAATTGCTTTCTATGTTAGTTCTTCTTAACCAGGAAAAAAATGAAGCCTTAAATGTGCAGGTTTCATATTTCCCACTTGATACCAACACATGGCAAGCTCCAGGTAAAAGCATCTGCTTCCTGGAGGTTTTAAACTACTGCGGTGCTGAAATAAACCTGAATAGCAGGGAGATCAGACTACATTGAGTGCAGAATAAAGAAAGAGGGACACACCCTCTCTTCCAGCAGGGGTTCAATCAATCTGGTGTAGACAGTTATACACAGTTTGCCAAGAAGTAGGCAGGCCACGGCCCCTCCCACCATCGACATGGACTTGCCAATAAGTTGCATTTACAGTACGTTGAAGGTCACTTACAGCAATTTTGACCTTGATAGTGGCCAGCTTATCTTCTGCAGCTGCCAGCTCCGCATTGGCTTTGTTTAAGGCCTGGCGTTTTGGCTCCACCTCACAGAAGACTTCATAGAACTTGACGATGTTGACGACCCAGGAGCACAGGCCGGAGGCAGCCAAGGATTTGGAGGCAATAAACTCTGGGTTAAACTCTTGGTCCTGCATGTATGGCTGAATGGCTTTAATGCAGTTTTCATGAATATTCTCTTTATTGAAGTTGATGAGAGAGTCCAGGAAGCCGTCGACTTTTCCCATGACCACCCTGGCCTGCTTCCAGCTCCTGTCCTTTGGAATCTTTCCTCCTGGGGCTGTAAGGACCATAACAGCTGCAGTGACATTGGTGACGGCTGAGGGTGGAGTGCCAAATGACTTCAGTTCAGTCAGGTTGGTCTAGAAGGGCAAAACATGAGAAAGTTGATATTTGAGAGCAGAATGGACATCGGTAAAAGCTTGTAATATCTACTTGTCATCTGATCATATTCTCTAGATACCTCATGTTCCCTATCAGACTGTAACTTGTAATGAGCAAGACCCTCATAGCTCCTGTTCCCTATTCAACTATAGGGTGTAATGAGTAGGACCCTCATAGCTCCTGTTCTCCATGAGATGCAAGATGTAATGAGCAGAACCTTCATACCAGCAGGTACCTATAAGATGTAATGAGTAGGACCCTCATACCTCTGCTTCCCTATTAGATGTAAACTGTAATAAGGAAGACCCTCATACCTCCCGTTGCCTATGAGATGTAAGATGTAATTAGAAGGAACCTCATACCTCCTCTTCCATATTAGATGTAAACTGTAATGAGCAGGACCTTCATACCTCGTCTTCCCTATTAGATCTAAGCTGTAATGAGCAGGACCCTCAGACCTTCTGTTCCCTATTCGATGTAAGTTGTAATGAGCTGGGTCCTAATACCTCCTCTTCCCTATTAGATGTACAGTACGTTGTAATAAGAAGAACCCTCATACTTCCTGTTCCCTATTAGATGTAAGCTGCAATGAGCAGGACCTTCATACATCCTGTTTCCTATTAGATCTAAGCTGTAATTAATAGAACCCTAATACTTCCTGCTGCCTATTAGATGTAAGCTGTAATAAGCAGGACCTTCACACTTCCTAATCTCTATTAGATGTAAGCTGTAATGGTTAGGACCCTAATACCTCCTCTTCCATATTGGATGAGAGCTGTAATGATTAGGACCCTCATACTTCCCTTTCCCTATTAGATGTAAGCTGTAAACAGCAGGACCCTCATACCTCCGGTTCCTAAGCTCTGACACACAGGTCTCTCATAGCTTTGCTTCCGGTTACGCTTTGTCTTGCTCTAAGTACATGTATGCCTACATCACACTACTATAAAGCACTATAAATATGAAGTTCTGTATAAATAAAATGTTACCATAATGGCGGACTACATATGAGTAAATGAGATAATGCAGCCATGGAGCAGCAGACAGAATTTCTTACCTTATTCAGGGTGTTCAGAGCCTCCTGAGCCGCTATTAAAGCTGGTTCTGCTTTGGCCAGGTCCGTTTCACACTCCTTCTGCTTCCTTCCGACTTCCTCTGCGATCACAGCAACCTTCTTCTCTTCGTCGTCCGCTATGGCTTTCTCCTTGCCCACTTTTTCTGTCTCCACCCCGACCACCTGGATGAGCTTATCAGCATCCTCATTCTTCTGATTTAGCTCCACCTCTTGCGCTGCTAGTTTAGCTTTCAGATCATCCACCTATCCAGACACAAAAAGGTAAATATAGCATTGTGTAATATATGTTCGAAAAATAGATCAAAGCAACTGGACCTTTTCTTGAAGATGTTTCACTGGTCATCTGACTAGCTTTCTCAGTGCAGAAAGTCAGTCAGATGACCAGCGAAACGTCTTACAGAATAAATACAACAAATCTTGTGTAATGTAGTTCAGGCAATAAATAAATCATCATTAGCTATTCGTAAAAACTATAAAGATGTTTCATGTATGGACTACTTCTTGGCTTTTGGGGGTGAAGGGGCAACACCACTGCATTTATGACTATTGGGCTAGGTCTAATAGCAAGCATCCATCTTTCTCTGTATTATTAATATTCTGGGTTTATATAGCGCCAACAGTTTGCACAGGTAACAGCTGTAAAGGGATGAAATGATGGAGAAAGTTCAGCTCAGTTGTTAGGTGGAGGTTGGATAGGCTGCACCGGAACTGATGTGTTTTTAGGGGTCACCGAAAGGCAAACAGAGTAGGCGAGGTCGGGCTTCCTCCTGACAAACCTGCACCCAATTTGAAATCTTCTGCCCCCATGTGCTCGAAGATGGAGACTCTCATAGTTTAGAGTTAGGACCGCACTATAAGAGGTGCCTTGGCGCAGCTGTGCGGCTTTCACATTTTCTGCAGAAGACGTGTATCCAAACCTCTGTCATTGTCCTTAGTGGTGAGACAAGTTGTTTTACATGCTGGTTTGTGAGTGTGCCATGATGCCTTTCTACTGATAGTTGTGGATGAGTCTGCATGTTGTTAGTATTTTACACTTTATTCACTGGCGAGCCAGTGGAGGGATTGGCAGGGGATGGAAGCCAGTGGAGGGATTGGCAGGGGATGGAAGCCAGAGGAGGGATTAGAAGAGAGGGGCAGGGGATGGAAGCCAGTGGAGGGATTGGCAGGGGATGGAAGCCAGTGGAGGGATTGGCAGGGGATGGAAGCCAGAGGAGGGATTAGAAGAGAGGGGCAGGGGATGGAAGCCAGTGGAGGGATTGGCAGGGGATGGAAGCCAGTGGAGGGATTGGCAGGGAATGGAAGCCAGAGGAGGGATTAGAAGAGAGGGGCAGGGGATGGAAGCCAGTGGAGGGATTGGCAGGGAATGGAAGCCAGAGGAGGGATTAGAACAGAGGGGCAGGGGATGGAAGCCAGTGGAGGGATTGGCAGGGGATGGAAGCCAGTGGAGGGATTAGAAGGGAATGGAAGCCAGAGGAGGGATTAGAACAGAGGGGCAGGGGATGGAAGCCAGTAGAGGGATTGGCAGGGGATGGAAGCCAGTAGAGGGATTAGAAGAGAGGGGCAGGGGATGGAAGCCAGTAGAGGGATTGCCAGGGGATGAAACCAGAGGAGGGATTAGAAGAGAGGGGCAGGGGATGGAAGCCAGTAGAGGGTATGAAAGAGAGGAGCAGGGGATGGAAGCCAGTGGAGGGATTGGCAGGGGATGGAAGCCAGAGGAGGGATTAGAAGAGAGGGGCAGGGGATGGAAGCCAGTGGAGGGATTGGCAGGGGATGGAAGCCAGTGGAGGGATTGG